TTTCATTGTGACTAAGCTATAAAAGTGTGTTAATTTCTAGAGATATTAATTTCTATAGTAGTATATATATTTTATATATATATATATTTTTTTTTTCAGCATGGGACAAGCCAGTATGGATAATAAGCGATATCAGAAGAAAAACTGACATTAAATGGTTTACAGAAAACTTTGAGGATGCATGTAGGACTGTACGTATAGTTTGCTCCCAAGAAATTAGGCAGAAACGTGGCTGGGTTTATACACCAGGTAATAACATTATAACATAATCATAATTTTAAGGAACCGCAAAAACTCGATCTTCAGAGTAATTTAATCATTGTAGGCATAGACGATGCAGAAACAGAATGCGACTTGGATGACATAAGTAATTGGGACATCATGCTAGAGAATAACGATGATAGCAATATAGAAGCTATACTGCAGCAGTTATTAGACCTCATTAGCTAGCAAAATTTTTTTCTATCCTATCAAATGTGCAATAAACATTTCGTAATTTTTTTTTCTTGAAAAAAAAATGCATCATAATTTGATGACAATTTTTATTCATAGTATATTCTAATAATATATATATGGAAAGTCTCACTTGACAGCAAATTTTATGTTTTAATTGTTTCTTATCTGCATGGCTCGCTCTATGCACGTACATTTTTTTAAAAGTTAGAGATACTTTAGAATTATAAAAATTAAGGCGATTACAAAAATTGTGGAATTATAAAAATAAAAATTATAAAAAAGAAATGAAGATCCAATCCAATAAAATATAATACAAAAACATGCGCTGTCTTATAAAAAAGTAATTCGAGAAAGGACATAAAGTGAAGTGAATGAAGAAAGGACATCTTTATTTTTGTTTAATCCGTACTGTGGGTGTATGTAGTAGAGATCATCTCACGAAAGTGTATACTAAAAATAGATAAAAACAAGTCGGCAGGAGTATTGTTTTAAGAAGACGAAGCCTTTTATTGTGGCTATTCTACAATGCATAAGCGTCGTTGTGTGTAGTTATAAGAATTGACCAGTCACAGTTAAATATGAGGAGAATATTCAACAGTGATTGGCCAATTCTTACAACCACGCTTGCGCACTTTATGCAATCGACTTGCGACTACATAAAAATCAGCTGTTATATACGGTAAGTAAGGTTAACCTCCTAAAATGTAATTTTTGAAGTTATGTAAGTTACGAATATTATGTAAACGATATTTATCGATTTTTCGGAGGATAATTTTGAATTAAGCGCGTATACATAAAAAAGGAATACATCCACGAACGTGGATACATAACTTTTGAGGTTAAGTCAACGTAAGCAATTACTATTTGTTTTATGTATTATTATTTGTCACGATCACATATTATATTTATACAAATTTACATCTTTACTAATTTTATTAATTTTTATTTTTTACGCTAAATTTTTGGGATCAATTTTTATATAGTGTACTTTTTGCTGCCATCCAGACACGATTGTCAGTAATAACAAGGACCTCGAGGGTCTCGATGGAAATCGGTTATCATTCTAAAGACCATCGAATAGAATAATGGAACATAAAATTCCATCTGGTATCCTCGACGATCTTAGCAGGTCGGTTTCCATCTATTATGCTAAAATTATACTAAATACGGTTTCCATCTATTATACTAAATTATACTAAATATAATGAGAATAATACATTTAATAGAAAACAATAACATATAGTTAAATCCCATGCATTTGCATCATTTTAGCATAATTGTTGTTATTTTTATACAATATCTTGTGTTATTCTGCAGTCGATTCATCATCAATGTACCCGAGGAGGAGAGAAAAGATTTGGTACGAATTTGCTTTCAAGTTGAATTGGCGCATTGGTTTTACCTCGACTTCTACTGTACAGAGGAATATCCTAAACTGAGATCATGCGGCATGAAAGAATTTGCCACTCATATATTTCAACACATACCATTTTTGAAACCACACGTACAGCACATTGATGCTGTGCTCGAGCAATGGAGAGAGTACAAACAGAATGTGCCGACGTTTGGGGCAATTGTGTTAAATGAAGATATGACTAAGGTGCTTCTGGTGCAGAGCTACTGGGCAAAGAATAGTTGGGGCTTTCCTAAAGGAAAAGTAAATGAAGATGAGGAGCCGTTTCATTGTGCTATTCGAGAAGTGTTGGAAGAGACCGGTTTTGATATATCTAATTTGATAGATAAAAACGAGTACATTGAATCTACAATAAACGATCAAACTGTGAGATTGTATATTATTTCGGGTGTGCAAAAGGATACAAAGTTTCAACCAAAAACGCGAAAAGAAATAAAGAATGTTGAATGGTTTGCCGTAGTGGATTTGCCCAACACAAAAAAAGATATGACTCCTAAAATGAAAATGGGTGTTAGTCCAAAAGCATTTTTTATGGTGGTACCGTTCGTGAAGTAATTATTTGCTATTTTCTATAAAATCCATATATTTAATGAAAAATTGTGTTACATATGTGTCACTCTTTTGTCCAGGCGGATAAAGCGGTGGATTCAAGAGAAACAGCAACGTGAAAGAACCACCATTGCAACTGTACGAAGACAAAGGCATAAATCGTTGGGAGATGTTGAAACAGTTTCAAAGAGTAAACGACAACAGCATTTTTCTACCACAGCGTCGCTTTTCCACCACTTTTCTACTTGTCCACCACAAGTAAATATTATATCTTATGTGTAATTCTTTTTATGTTATAATCTAAACTTTCATATACATTGTCGCGTGCTCCATTTATAGAGCGAAGTTCCTGATTTTAAAGTTGGCCGTCAATCAAACACTTCTCCGGCTCGCAGTCGCCGTAGTGTAAATGACAATAAGAAAGACGCGTCGAAGACAGCATTTAAACGAAATCTATTTGGAGACCAGGAGGATCAATCACCTCTTGTTAAACAACTAATAAACAGTCCTGCTCAATCGTGCTCATTTCTAATTGATCCTGCGATTCAGTCGATCAAATATAATGACTTTAGTTACAAAGCGCAATCATCGAAAAAAGAAGTAAAAGGTACACTACGTTTGCTTATAATCTAAATCTTACTTCTACTTAATTTGAGATCTCGCTTAAAACATATCACAAATAATATATTTAACGAGATATCTAAATTCTGTAAAGAGTGTTATATCTTTTAATATAAACATTAATAATATAATCCAATATTGCTATGATACTATTTTGAAATTGATTTTCTCTTTTAGATTTTCGCAAGAAAAGTCTGCCAGAAGGAAATATCAAATCGATGCTGTTCGGAGAAGCTACGCGCAAATTACAAAAAGATTTTCAAACTATTCCACCGATTCCTTTTGTAAGTCTGGGACATGATAATTCGCCGCTTTTAACGAAGAATTACAAACAAAATTATCCTATCTTTGATTTTCGCGTAAAGACTTGGGATAATTTCTCTTTTGATATCCAAGCGATACTAAAAGTTCTAAAGTAGTCATGTATACAATAATTTGGAAGAATGGATTACCAACATAGAAGTGTAGATATCGAATAGATTCGATAGCTATTAACTTCATCTGTGTTTTTTATACTTTTTCTATCTTTTATCTTTGCTGGTCAATAATAATGCGCGTGTATTATGTTACATGTATGATAATGTACCTTTATGCATTATCGTACACATTACGTAATATTGATAAAATTGATATTGATAAATTTAAAGCTTCAATTCACTCATTACTACTACCTCAGATTACGACATCAGAAGCAAGACTTACAAAAAGCTTGTAAAAAAATTATATTTAAATAGAAATATTTTTCAATAAAACATTTAATCGATAAAATAGACTTAAAATAACTTGTGTTTCACAAAAACTTTGTGTTTCAAAAAGAAATTAAATCATTTATTTCTATACTTTATCATTTATGGATTTGATAGTTTGTCATAGTTGTAAACATAGCTTATTTCGTATTTTATGTAATTCATTTTCAGATATAAAATTATTTATTAAGAGTACGTTTTACTTAACATTCACTATTGCAGGCATTGTTTCATCCTTGCATCAAATGTTAAACAAGGATGAAATAATGCACGTGAGGATTGCAAATGGAATGCTAATTAACGAAACAAAAGGGAAGTTTCCAGATATTTTGCAAGAATTTTTATTCTGAAATAGTAGTGATAAGTGAACAGGAGTCTTAAGTTTAAATTAGTTTTAGTTTAATAGTCTCGAAGTATATCTTTATTGTGTTGTTTATGTGTCATCTAATATACATATCTATTCTTAACGTGATGGTAACGATAAATTCAAAGATTCAACACTTTGAATTTTGTTGTTTACGAAAACTGATTATAGAGGAAGATCTGGTAGAAAGAGAAATAAGTTACTTTTTCGTGAAAGCTGTAGGCAAATTGCAAATAAGATTTAAAAAGTATTCTTTGCAGATTTAAAACATAATAGATAAAATTTGTCAATTTTACCAAATCTTGGTAATTCAATATTTTTGACATTATAAACTGTATGAAACAGAATATTCTTAAATTATATTGTACAAATAATAGTAATAATTTATATATAACTATAGAAAGATACAGCGCGTAAGTAACATGGTATTATACATTTCGATTTCGATATTAGCATTTTTCGGCCAAACAAGAATTTATCATTTTTGTTTAAGTAAATTGACGTTAAATTAGCGTTAATTGAATTAATTTTTATTAACGTATAATGTATTTGTAAAGGATATTGAGGACGATTATCAGGACGAAAAGAACCAATAAAACTGGGCCAATAAAATAGAATATTTTTTCAAAAATATGACTGCCCGTCTGCACACTTTTGATAATTTCATTATTCAATTCAAAGACTATTTTACTTTCTTCGATAAGTTTATTTTTCGTGTCCTCATCCAACGTCTCCGCGATTCTGTTCATCGATTCGCGTAATTCACGCTTTAACTGAAATATACTGTTCTGCCCAAAGTCTGTGACGTTATTACCATCGCTCGACGGTTGCGCTTTGAAAGGCGAAATCTTTTGTACGATCTGCCTTTTTTTACGTAGAATGATACCGCCGCTGAGGAGACCCATGTAAAGATGATAAATATATGCCATTAATAAAGTGGGATCCGTGTCTTCCACTTCTCTCAAACGCATCAGATATTTGGCGACGCTATCCCTAAAGTTTGTAAAACAGACTTGTAGGCTTAAGATTTCTTTTCTGTAATAATTACTATTACCAAATTATCTTAATTATACTATTATAAAAGACTGATCTTTATTACTCATTGTAAGCGTAGGAAAATAAAACGATTTTATTTTCACAACATATCATCTGGTTACTATGCAGCTTTTGTACCTAGGACTGTAGTTTTTCCTCCATTCTTTTCCCAAATAATGATCAAGATCGCGCTCGAAAGCCTCTGTACGTTGAAGCTCACTGAGTGGAAGCAATCCAATTTTGGTGTTTCTTAATCTAATCATTGCACCTTCCAGGTAACGAAAGACCTCGTAGAAAACCAGAAGCCCGTCAGCCCATATAGAATCGTCGAGGAACCCTAGTTGTAGAGTATTGTAATCATTACATTGGAACCAGATTTGTTGCATGGAACAGGTTAATAAAATCATATGTAGCATTTAGATATACAAAGCATTCAACGTCAAGTCGAGTACTTATTCTTCAGACATTAATATACTTGTCAAGTATAATACTAGAAGATTTAAGATCAATATTCATAGTCGATTCTTATATTTAAGACTGTCTCAGTCTTAAAATATAATGAATCATATTAGCATCTTAAGACATTACTAAAGATCTTAAGGTCTTACACTAAGGACGTACTATTAATAATGGTCTTAAAAAATTGACAAACAGTGACCATTAAAAGCACAAACAATGAGTGCTATATATAGAACATACGAAAGAATAACACAATGTTTATCATGCTTTTGTTATCTTGCTGATACATCTTTGTCTTTGCTGCAGTATATAACCAAGCTTGTAGCTTGTGTTGAGAAATTCAAATAAAACGGCCAATATTTACAATATCTCGAGAAAGCCTCACGGTATCTCGTGATCCTTACCGAATGCCAGTTTCGCGTTCACCAGGGCATCGCTGATTGCGTGTATTCCCCTGGTGGCTTTTGACATTTTCTTGCAAAAATTCTCCTCCTCCGGCATTTCGGCGAGATGATAAGGGAACGTCGGGAAATGCGTTTATCGTGCGTCGTAAGATGTGCGTACTTAATGCCGTCTCAGGTCTCACACCATTACACGACCGGGTTCCCGCGCACTTCCGCGGGCTGTCACGTGAAAATCGACGTCGTGAAAACACTGCGCCCGCAACATCGACGACCATCCCCGGCCGCCCCTGCGCACTGATGCAGTCACGTGTCCGCACTCTGTCGCAAAGTCATCGCCACGAGATGTCGATTTTGTCCATCGGCGCGAAACCGTCGTCCCATTCGAGTCACGCAAAAGCCGAACTAATTAACGATATCAATTATTGTCAATTT